AGAGCTGGAGAGGGATTTGGGATCAGGGCCTGCAATGCCTGGAAGGACACAGGGAATGGCTTCCCACTGGGAAAGGGGAGATTGGGAAGGGATTCCCGGCTGGGCTGGAATTCCCAGGGAAGCTGTGGCTGCCCCTGGATGATCCCTGCAGTGTCCCAGGCCGGGTTGGATCCCCTGGGATAGCGGGAATTGTCCCTGAACGTGGAATGGGATGATCCTGAAAATCCCTTCCCACCCCACCCATTCCCGATGCTGCCGATGGATCCTCTGCTCTCTGCTGGAGCCGGGATGCTTCCCTGGGGGTATCCACTCCCAAAATCTCACCCTGGCGGTGGGAATCACCTGCCGGGCTGTGCATTCCTGCATCCCAAAGCTCCGGGAACTCCCGTTCAACCCAAACTCTCTCCAGAATCCCCCCAGGAGAGGATTTACCCCCCAATTAACACCCTGCAGGACAAACCTTAATTACCCTTCGGGGCGAACCTTAATGAGCCCTCTGGGCAGGTTAATGAGGCTTTTGGTGCCGGGGGGTGGGAGCTGGACCTGGATTGATCCCCTGGAATGGGCAGAGCACGCGACCCCCCCGTATCCCCCATTCCCCCGCCATTCCCGCACTTCCACTTTTTCCCATCCTCCCACGGGCCGCAATTCCCAACCCCGGGCTCTCCCTGCTCCCTTCCCGGTGTTTCTCCCGCCCGTTCCCGGAATCCACGTGTTTTTCCTGCTCTCCCTTCCCCCCCCGCAGGGCTCTCCTTCTACACCCGCGTGCTGGAGAACTGCGAGGACGAGGCGCTCTTCGACGAGGTGAGGGAGCTTTTCCTCCGCCTTTATCCCGGGATTCCCATTCCAGGGAGAAATTCCAGAGGCTCCTTGGCCGGGTGAACGTCCCCCTTGCTCCAGGGTTTCCCCTGGGAATGGGATCCCTGGCTGGGATGTGGCAGAGCGGAGTCTGCGGGGTGGGAACAGCAATTCCCTGGGGGGGAGGGAATTGATTAAAAAAAAAACAGGTGAGAATTCCGTGGTTTCTGCACTCAGTTTTCAGGGAAAAAAAATTCCATCTCCGCTGGGAAAATCCTGCCGGGCTCCTGGCTCAACCTTTCATTCCCTCAGGGGGAGAAATTTCTCCTTCCCTGAGGGCTTTTCCAACCTCAGCAATCTCAGGGGGAAAGGAAAGGAAAAGGAAAAGGAAAGGAAAGGATAAACTCTCATTTTTAAGCCCCAACCCACCAACATTCACCTTCTTTCCTAACCAACTGAGCCAAGTCCAGGGAACTGGCAGCAGAATTCCCACCCGAGCCCCTTTCCAAAGCCCAGCCCCAGGAAAGCTGGGAATGCACCGGGAAGGGGTGACCAAAGGCCAGGCCTGGTGATCCCGGAGTCCTTTTCCAGCCTTAGTGATTCCATGATTTCTGAGTGTGGCACGGGCTCCCCTGGCTTTGTGTTTCCCGGGATTTCGGGCAAAACTCCAAATCCCGTCAGTGGCTCCAGGCAGGGGGGTCCCTCTGGGACTGGAACTGTGCAGAGGAGCCCCTGGGGTGACGGGATGTTCCAGGGAATATCCCAGATGGGAATATTCCCCCCCCCTCCCCGGTGGCTCCCTGGGGTTTCCATGGCTGGAAAATGTCCCCAGCCCAGAGCACTGAGTGCCACTCCAGGCCTGCCTGGGACACCTCCAGGGCTGGGCACTCCAAACCTCCCTGGGCAGCCCCTGCCAGTGCCTGACCACCCTTTCCAGGGACAAATTCCTCCTGCTGTCCCCCCTGCCCCTCCCCTGGCCCAGCTGGAGGCCGTTCCCTCTCCTCCTGTCTCTGTTCCCTGGGAGCAGAGCC